AACGAAGAAATTAGAAATCGAAAAAATGAAATTATTAGAGAAGTATAAATTTAAATTTAAAAATTTTATAATTTTATTTTAGCAATCTGGAAATAAACAAAAAGAAATAGTAATTGAAATACAAGAAGAAGAAGAAGAATTTCCAGATCTTTTAGAAAAAGCCTTGAAAGAATTTTCTGGTAAAATACAAATAAATTTTATATTTTATAAAGTTAGACCTTACTTTGGTGTTGGGTTTTGGTTTGGTTAAATTTCGATATATTTAGTTCAAGTTCCTTTCATTCAGTTCTTGTTAAACTGAAACTATTTTAAATCGTTTAAGGTTACTTTCTATGAGCAAATTTTGAAGTTTTAACCGAAGTTTTAACTGAATTTACACTGGGGATTGAGTATTGAGGAATCTTTTCTATGCGATAAAATTGAAATTATTAGTAAATTCGGATTTAGGAGTATGCATTATCCGAATTTTGTATAGCATTCTCGACCTTTGAAGAAAGTTATGGATTTTGGTAATTTACAAGTAAAAGCAGAAAAATTGGGGTTAATATAACTTTTAATTTCATCGTCCTAATTAGAACAGATGAAAATGAGAAATCTAGAGAGATCCGCCAGTTACCACAAAGAATAAAAAGAAGGTCTGTGAACCGAAACCGATAAAATTAGAAATTAAGATTGGGGATGCTAATTCAAAAATTATCAATTACATCAATTTAAATTAATAAAAGAATTTTACAAAAATTACAAAATTTTTAGAAAATAAAGAAATGAAAGATGCACTCAATTTTTTAAAAGATTTGTTGGAAATTGAAAATAAATTGTTTGAACAAAATAATGGAATTTTTGATGAAAATATAGAGGAATTTAGATTAAATATTGAAAATAAATTGAAAGAAAATCAAAAATTGGAAACAAATAATTTATTCGAAAAGAAAAAAGGAAATTATTATTATAAAAAAGATGGACATTTAGTAAATAAATTTACTAAATTTTTGTTGGAGAATATTGAAAAAATGAAATTAAATAATAAAAAATTAATTTATTTAATTATTTATTTATTAGCAAATATTGAGGAAAATATATTTGATGATTATATTAAAGAGGTAATAATTCGAGTTCAGAGTTCCGAAATTTCTTTCCTTCCGATTTCCGGCACCTTCGTCATTTCCGACCCACTCTGGTAATAATGAAGAATAATTAAATACAGAAAAAATGAGACCCAAAACCGCATCCAATTCAAAATCTGGAATAAAAAATTAAACGGATTCGGCATGTCTGGCTTTTTCTGAGTTAATCATGTCAGGGAATATTTTTTTATTTCGGGGATAATCCTGAAATAAATCGTATTAAATATCTCAACTCTAGAACTGGAACTCCAGTTCCGTTTATATATAATAAAAAATATTATTATATAATTAAAATATTTGTAGAAACTGAAAACAAAAGAAATGGAATTTAACAAAAAATTTGAAATTATGGAAGATTTAATTGAAAAGTTTGTTTGAAATTTTTGAAATTAAATTAAAAATAAAATTTAAATAATTTTATAGATCACAAAAGAAAGAATATAAAGAATTAAAGAAAAATGTTAATGATTTTATTAAAATAAAAATTAGTAAATAAAAGTGAAGAATTTAAAGTAAAGTAATTAAATGAGTAGCAGTCGCAAAAATTTTTCGAACAAAATTTTATTTTTAGCGCTTCAGACGAAAATTTAGAGAATTTTGTAAGGCCGTACGCCAAAAAATATAAATTTCTGCTCCATGCCTCCCCAAATTGTCTCCATATCCTCATTTCAAGTGGAGTGTGATATAAGTGGATTAAGGGGATATTGGTGGAGATAAAAATTAGTGTTTAACCGGAACCGAAATTTTGACCGGAACTGGATCCAATTTGAGTTCCGGTTCCCGGAACCTGAACCAAAAAACCAACGCTGGGTTATTTATTTTCATTTATGTTCTTTCTGCAAGTGCGGACACAACAATGGGGATGATACTTTTTTAATTTATGCATTATAAAAAGTTTGGCGTTATTTTTATTCAATTTCAGCATTAATGCGCTCTAAAAACTCAAAAACTCTGGCCACGCGAAATTCGGCCATAAACCCCCAGACACAGTCAAATAATTTTCTTCTTTTTTCAATCAATTTTTCTATTTTTTTAATAAAAATTTTTTTTATGTAAATAGTATACCTTTTCATGCTAAGCAAGGTAAACAATTTTTCCCTTATTCCGTCAATTCCCTCACATTTTAAAAAATTTTTGTGTAGCGTTTTATGTATTTGTGGGTTGATTTATGTTAAACAAAAATTATTTGTTTAGCTTTTTATGATAAATTATTTTCATTATTAAATATATTTTTTCTCATTTTATTTTATTAAAGTTTTATTAAAATTTAATATTATCTATTATCTTTATAATGAATCAAGAAAATAATTTACAAAAGAAACCCCTTTTATGTGTAATCTGTGGAAATCAAAGTGAAAGCAGAAATTACTGTGTTATTAGTTGTGCAAGTAATTATTTTTTTTAAGATTATTATATAAATATCGGGTTGTCAGACTTGGTTACAAAGATGGTTACTTGGTTACCTCCTCAAAATTTAGTGAATTCTATTTTTAAATTTATTTCAATCATAATGTTTTCGCTAAATAAATCTCCCATGTTTATTTTGTAGCTAACTAATATGTAGGGGTTTTATTTTGAAAAGAAATTGGCAGTCCAATTAAAAATATTTGTTATTTTCCCTATGTAGTGGTGCATGCCCCTTGATGCAAATGTACCAGGGCTGGGCTTCGCTTTCGCATCTTTCGCATTTTTCGCATTTTTTGGTGCGAAAAGTTTCGCATTTCGCATTTTGGTCCAAATGCGAAATTTGTTTCGCATTTTTCATTTAGTATTTCTTTATTTTTTAGATATTTTGACGTAAAATTTTTTAAAGGAAAAGGGAAGAAATATCAATAATCTATCCCGATTTTACTTTTGTTGGTCGATGGTGGAGTGGCTAAGTTGACTGAATACGTTCACTTTGGTGTAATTTGGGGCTGGGTTCGAATCCAGATGTAGGAAATAAGACTTAAACAATTTTTCCTTCCAAAAATAAATGTTTTTAAACTTTGATTTTGATTTTAAATCTGTAAATTTATTTTTTTTAATATGTCAAACCTGAAAAACATTAAAAATTTTAATTTAGTAATGAATTTTCCAAATTTTCGCCTGCTGCGCAGAAAATAAAAGTAATCTGACTCAAGGACTCTGAAATTCTCAAAATTTTCGCCTGCGGCGCAAAAAATGGAAAACGAGTAGAGCAATTTTCATATTCTAAATAGAGTTAAGCGGGATCGGGATCCCGACCTAAAATCGGGATTGGGATTTTGGAATAACGACCCTGATCCCGGTCCCGACTACGGGAGCAGGATTGGTTGAAATCGGGATCTGGATTTGAAATAATGACCCCGATCCCGAATCGGAACCTGTAATGCCCCGAACCTGCAATGCTTTTTCGATATTCGGGACATTATCTCGGTTGACAGGCAGTTCCATGAATAGAGTGAGGTATCTTTCGACTCAGCTCGCCTAGGCAAATCGAATGTTATGTGTTTCTTATCGAAATTTTGCTTCCGTTATACTATACCATGTCAAAATTTTTCTAGAATTTTTAACTAATTTCGCTTTCGCTTTCGCATCTTTCGCATTTTTCGCATTTTTTGGCGCGAAAAGTTTCGCATTTCGCATTTCGCTTTTTATTTTTTTAAAAAAAGTTTCGCATTTCGCATTTTATTTTTTGATTTCGCCCAGCCCTGAAATGTACCTTCTCGTAAAAATAATATAACTATTAGTTACCCTTTTCGTAAAATTCTCCCACATTTTAAGGGATTTTTGTAGCGTTTTGAGCAAAGCAAAAAAATATTTTAATTAGGTGTATATTTGTTTAGCTTTTTTAATAAATTTGTACTTTTTATTCCCATACATATCCATTTTCTCATTTTGGTAGATATTGACAACTACTAATAAGCATATAAAACTTTTAACACTCCCCATCCATATGTACTAAAGTGCATAAATAGCTTTTGAGGTTGATTTAGTTAATTCGCCAAAAATAATTATACCTACATATTATACTTTTTATAAAATGAATAAAGAAATTAATAATTCACGAAAGAAAATCCTATTTTGTGCAGTTTGTGGAAAACAATGTGAAAGCAGAAATTATTGTGTTATTAGTTGTGCAAGTAGTCTTAATTTTATTTAAGAACATTATACATATTGGGCTTCTTAATTTGAATATTAAGAACCCTAATACTATTAATATATCCCTCTGAGACTTAAACAGGGATGGGGGGGGGGAGATATAAATATAATAATTATTTTTTCTAAGGTTGCAAGCAATTTTTTCGCCGTACTGTTGTACAACAGAAAGCTACTACTTGCCGGCGACATAAAAAGTGTGATATAATAAATGGTTAACATTTTTTCTTTAATTCGATATTTAAGAGTACACTCTAAGGTACCGCGGGTATTTTTGTGATTCATTCTATTTTGAATTACCACGTATATACCTGCTCCACAAAGTATAGGTCCAACAAAATTTACACAACTCAAAATTTCGAATTATTATACAAATACCAATCTTTATGGCATTTTTATTATATGCTTTAATATTAGATTTAAATCAAAATTCTTAACCTAGAAATGTTCTTCTAGATATTAAGGCAATTTTTTTTCTAATGCCCCCCCCACAAAAGTATAGATTAAGTTTCCTAGATTAGGAAAAATCTACAAAAATTTCAGTGTATTTTTAATAATGACAAAGGAAGGTGAGGCTAAGACTTGACACAAAAAGGAAAAAGTTATTCTAATAACAAAGAAAGCTTTCTAAAAAATATTTTGGATTAACTAAGGATTTTTAAAAGTCAAAAAAATTTTTGTCTCAGAACTTTGGCTGCGTTATTACCATGGATACCTATTTTTTAAATTAAATTAAATTTTATTATTTATTTATTAGGCGAGAAATGTAGAGGTTGCCGTCTTGATAAATGTCTAATTGAGGGAATGGATCCTTTAATGGTTAAAACTACTGACAAGAAATGTCGAAAGGAATTTATTGAAATGTTGGAAAAACGCCGAAATAAATTACACAAAAATATCAACACTTCAACAAACATTCATCAACAAGACGAATTAAATGACGGAAACGAATATTTAAAGAATAATGAAGATAAAGATGAAATTATTTGTTCTGCTAATAAATATAGAAAATTAACAACCAATCAAATAAAAAATAAATTGGACAACAATGACAAAATAATTAGTATAAAATTAATTTAAATTATACATATAAAAAAAGAAAGTTTTTAATAGCAAAAATAATTGAACAAGAAGATATACCCCATAACACGGAACGTCCCTCTTGTGTACCGGCCGTTTGTGTACCTGGCCATATTTTGGGCCATAACTTTTTCAATTCTTAATTGATTTAAATAAATAATATATCAATTGAAAGCCCTGGATGTGTGGATTATTTTCGCCAACAGGATTGATTTGATCAGATCATGTTATAAAAAGTTATATCTCGATAAATACACCCAATCGTGATTTTGATCTTTATCTGTCTGTAACTTTTTGTATGATGATCTGATCAAATCAATCCTGTTGGTGAAAATAATCCTCACATCCAGGGCTTTCAATTGATATATTATTTATTTAAATCAGTTAAGAATTGAAAAAGTTATGGCCCAAAATATGGCCAGGTACACAAACGGCCGGTACTCAATGATCCCCCGCCCTCCATAACATGATTTTAAATAACGAAAGCGATTGGAAGGCCAAGCGCTAGAATTCATTAAATATCCATTTAAAAAATATGACAATCTCTCTTAATAAAAGTTGAAATTATTTATTTATATTCCGAATGAAAAACACGGGAGGTTCCGCAAAAAATAATCCAAGCTATCACTTGTCGCACTCTAGTTAACGAAAATAAATAAAATTAAAAATTAAAGGTCAACAAAAACAAAATTATCTCTTGGTACCTTTAAATGCAGATAGCAGTCAAGTAATTATAATTATTTTTTTAATATCTTAATTATAACTCTAGATGGAGCATTTAATTCAAATTTGTGAAGCACAAAGCCGAATTAGAAATGCATTTATGGATTTTGATGACCAACAATTTTTATCTCTAAATTTAAATTCTTTGAAAGATCTCTTAACTAATGGGCCAAATATTATTTTAAAAGCATCAGAATTTTCGGTAAATTTTTTAGATAAATACTGTCAGATAATTATCCCCATAGTTTTAGTTAGGTTGCCACTTGTTGAGGTGGGATTGAGCAGGAATGGAGTTATTCTTAGGTATAATTTTTCAGATCTAAGGATGAACTAAAAGTTTGTTTGTTTGTAACGGGCAGACTTGTGCATGGACACGGATTTTGGAATGGCTCTATATCAAATATCCGTGATCACAATATTCGTATCCATTTATATCCGAGCAAAATTTTGAGTCATACATATCCATCCTCCGCGATTTATCCGTTTTGAGAAAATGTTTCGAAGGAAATGGCTATAGGTACGAGATTAGTTCTATCTTGGTGACAAATATTTACGGACAAAAAATCCGGCACCAAACAATATAAATAATTCTATATACTTATTAATAGGAAACACCAAAGCTTCTTAGTTCAACTGAATTTTACGAAATAAATGCAAAATTTGACCAAATTAATCATCGAACAGTAAAATGTCTATTCGTTGAGAAACTTGTCTGTATTGGAATTTTTAAATCTTTGCCTATTTTTCCAAAACTTGATATTAAAGATCAAGTTTGTTTGTTTGTTAATAATAGTTAACATTAATTTAATTATTAAGTTAATTATTTTAAAATATGTGGCAAATGCTGTATTGATGATTTGCAATTGTTTTATTGCCTATGAATTGTGTTCTGATACTTGGATGAGAAAAGATGGTTCTTGTGTAATGGCTGCTTTCTCTGATCAATTTAAATTCAAAACTGATAAAACGTAAAATATTTTAAATTATTCTTGTTTAAAATTTGATTTACTAAAATATAAAATGTCGACTCGATATCAGAGTGGCCTTTTTACCCTATTTATAGAGGATTTTCCCTATTTTTGATCTTTTCGCCCTATTTTTTCCCTATTTTGTACATTTGCCATATTTTGCCCTATTTTTATCAATTTTTAAAATTTCAAGATGGTGACAGTCATCTTGACGTGTTCGTGGTCGACGACCGTGGTCGACGACCGTGGCCGTGGTCGACGACCTTGGTCGTGGTCGAAGACAGTCATCTTGACGTGGTTGTGGTCGTCGACAGTCATCTTGACGTGATTGTGGTCGTCGACAGTCATTTTGACGTGGTCGTGGTCGACGACAGTCATCTTGACGTGGTCGACGACAGTCATCTTGACGTGGTCGTGATCGGCGACAGTCATCTTGACGTGGTCGTGGTCGACGACATTCATCTTGACGTGGTCGTGGTCGATGACAGTCATCTTGACGTGGTCGTGGTCGACGACAGTCATCTTGACGTGGTCGTGGTCGACGACAGTCATCTTGACGTGGTCGTGGCCTACGACAGTCATCTTGACGTGGTCGTGATCGGCGACAGTCATCTTGTGGTCGTGGTCGACGACAGTCATCTTGACGTGGTCGTGGTAGATTACAGTCATCTTGACGTGGTCGTGGTCGACGACAGTCATCTTGACGTGGTCTACGAGTCGTCTTGACGTGGTCGTGGTCGACGACAGTCATCTTGACGTGGTCGTGGCCTACGACAGTCATCTTGACGTGGTCGTGGCCTACGACAGTCATCTTGACGTGGTCGTGATCGACGACAGTCATCTTGACGTGGTTGTGGTCGACGACAGTCATCTTGTGGTCGTGGTCGACGACAGTCATCTTGACGTGGTCGTGGCCTACGACAGTCATCTTGACGTGGTCGTGATCGGCGACAGTCATCTTGACGTGGTCGTGGTCCGACTATCTAAGTCTTTCGGATCCGGTTTCCAATCCCTAAACTCTTTGATTATTCGGGCTATGGTTATCCGTAGCCGGCAACATTATATAAGTAATTTGAAAACACGCATATGAATCTGAAAACACCACTAATGACTCTAATTGATGGAATAAAAAATGTCATTAACCCAAAAGTAACCGAGCACATTAATTTTGCCATAACTTTATTTATATTGAAGAAAAGAGTTAAATAATGAAGAATTAAACAAAGAACAAATATAATCAAGTATTTTCAAAGTGATTATTGATTGAACACATGTTTGAAGGCATGGTTGAAAGCGCGTGAAAAAATTTTGGGTAAAAGTTCGCACCGCCTCGTGTAGGATTTTCACTCATTTCCGAACGCGTGATTATCGACGAGACTCCAAACTTCTGGGTTATTAAGAGTAGACTCTTCCTCCAAAATGAATAAAAAATAGTAACCCAATGATACAAATCCGGTGAAGTCTCTCCTAAAGAATAGTACTTCTTGAAATACCTAAAGAATGCCTCACTGCCTTTTTTAAGGGATTTATCTACTTTATTTAAATTTAAGGCTGTATTCTTTGGCAATGAAAGCATTCACTAAACCGATTGAACCTTTTTTTCGCATCGGAATTTGTAAAGAAGAATTTAGTTTAATTTTGGCAATTATGTATTTAAATTCAGGTATTTTATTTTTAAAGAAAAAATAATAATTTTAAAATTTATTTAAAGATATCCCAGGTTTATCAGAATCAGCAAGGGATATTCTTTCAATTGAGTTATCCAAATATACAAGAATGTTACATAATTATTTACTGAATAAATTAGGTCAAGATGCTGGAATTAAAAAATATGCTGAATGTCTTCATTTAATTGCAAATTCTTATTTTGGGGCTAAGAACGTTGATTTATTAATAACTTACCAAGAAACATTCTATTTATATGGAGAGGTTCGAGATATGATGCCAGATTGCCCTAATGATATTGTCTAATTTTATAAAATAAAATTTTCTTTGCAAACTTATATTAAATATTAGAGCTGTCCGAGACTCTTGGTCTTGGTCTTGGAACCAAGACTTTTCTTGGTTTTTTTTCGGTCTTGGTCTTGGTCTTGGGGTGTTTGTCTTGGTCTTGTCTTGGTTTTATTTTTTGGTCTTGGTTTTTTGGCCTTTTTGGACCTAGTGCTTGGCCATCCAAAATCCTCAAAATTTTCGCCTGCGGCGCTGAAAAAGTGAATTTTTTGGCATACGGCCTTCCAAAATTTTCAAAATTTTTGCCTGCGGCGCTGGAAAAGGAAGATTTTTGGCTTCTCGGCCTTCATAATTCCCAAAATTTTCGCGCAAAAAGATAGGGATAAAATAGAGGATGGATATCAGCAGCCACCATCACCTAATCACCCAGGCCCCCAACTTCATACTATTCCTTTTGATCCCTCATAATCCACTTAAATTCCCCTTTAAACCTCGATATCCTCCTTAATCCAAGGGCGTAGCCAGGGGGTCAATTTCGAATGGGGGGGGGGGGCTAACGTTGGGTATCGCCAAAATTTTGGCTTTACCTTGGCGTTCCAGACGTAAAATTCCACGACATCCCTCATAATTCACTAAATCCCACGGCAATCCCTCTTAATTCTTTGATATCACTAATATCCCGTTAATCCACCCAAATCCTCTGAAATAATAACCTATTTTATTGATTTTCCACACGAATAAATTCCCCGAAATTCTTTGAATTTCGCATAAATTTTTCGAAATTATAGATAATTGTGCTGAAGTTGACTGATCGTATCAAAATAACAAAAAATAAACCAAAAATTTGACCTATGGGATTTAAAAATTTGGTCTTGATTTTTGGTCTTGAGTCTTGGAGTTTTGGTCTTGGTCTTGAGTCTTGGTCTTGGAAAAAATTTTGTTAAAGTTTGACCAGTTGTTGATTTAAAAAAATATTTTTTTTAATTGGTCAACTAAATTTTTTTTATTATTTCGTCTCTAAATGTTGGGTCTCTAATAGTCGGGTCTCTAAATATGCCCACCCCAATATCGGGTCCCTAAGTATCGGGTCCCCAAGGCCAAATATTCTTCATTTTCTGCGCAGTCGGGTCCCTAATCAGGGCTTTGCGCCAAAATTTCCGCGTGGCTACGAGGCTAAGTTTTTCTGAGCCGTACCATGATGAAAGTATTAGTATTTAGATAAGGGCATCTTTTAAACACCGCAGGCGAAAATTTTGTAAATTTTGGATGTCAAGAAGCCAGATTTCTTCCATTTTCAGCGTCGCAGGCATAAATTTTGAGAATTTTGAATGACTGTATGCAGAAAAAATTTCTTTCTCGATCATCCGCTCTCCCATTTACTTAAAAAATTTTCATATTCAATTTTTTAAGTTTGAAGGCTAAGAGGCCAAATATGCTTCATTTTCTGCGCCGCAGACTAAAATTTTTGAAAATTCATGACTAAATTTATTTTTCTACAATTTTTTTCACGTTTACTAATATTAAAAAAACTTTACAATTTTAAAATCAAATTTAAAAAACATCTACATATTTAGAAGGAAAAATTATTTAGCATTTAGAATATTGGCTTAAGACTAATAAATTTACTGATAGTTAAGTCGGTAGGAGATCGAATTGTTAATCGAATCGAAGCACCATCATAATCTCCAACGCTTTCCCCTTATGGCTATCAAAAATAAATATTTTAAAAATAAAACGGATTTAAATTTTAATTTATTAAAAATTCAATCAATATTTTAAATTGCCATTAACGTTGCCCTATCATGCGTGCTTTCACGCGACTAAAGACTTCTCACAAGACACTTTTCACAAGACACTCTCACAAGACATTTGTCACAAGACATTGGACATAAAATAAATAAAATATTTTCTTTAACATTGCCTAAACACATTTAAAGAAGAGTAAAGTTTTTCTGACAGCGGGGGCTATAATTTAATAAATAAATAGCACTTTATCACTCGCATGATAAACTCCGCCTTCCATTGATATCCCTCTGTATATTTATATAAACGGTAGTAAACAAGGCTTTTGGCCAGTTAATCGGTGAACATCGTTAGTTACCGTATTTTCTCGATTAATTCCCCTTCCTCGAATAATTCCCTCTCTGTATTAATTCCCTATGCTAGAGTTGGGTTGAAACAATAATTCCCCAGAGAAATTAATCGAGAAAATACGGCAACCTTTATATTGTACTACATTAAATTATGTCCAATATACAAATATTTTTTAACTTTTTAGTGAAAAAAATTATTTAAATAAACAAATGTTTATTTATTTAATTATTTTTTTGCTTCTACCAACAACCCCAACAACAAATGCTTTTCCAAATCCCATCAAAAAAGCAAATCCTTTTCCAACTTTATATAAAGGTATTGTGTTAATCTTTTAACTAAATTATAAAAATTTAATTAGGCATTTGTAATGCATATAACACGATGAGTTTAATTGATAATCCATTGAATGGTTCTACAGAAATAATTTTGGAAAATTATTTCAAAGAATTTCTTTCAACGGAAGATTCCAATCAGATTAACATAATGTATCTGAAAATATCAATACTTTCTCAAGTATTTTTGATGGAACTTGCGGTTGACAGATATCATCCAGGAACTGATATTGGGTTAAATATATATATAAATAATATACTAAATAAATTTCTTATTTAAAGATTGTTTCCTCGCTTCAACTTTCTTTGTCCAATTACCGTCTATTATGAACAACGTTTTTGCCATTTACTAATTAGTTTTAAAATTAATTATAAAAAAATAGTAAAAAATAATTTTGATAAAAATATCAACAAATATTCTCTGAAAGATTGTTGGGATGACAGAAAATTGAAAGGAATATTTTTAGAAAATCAGGAAGAAATTTGGGAGGCTAATTTCATTGTTTTCTTTAAATATTTTATAAATGAGAGGGAATCATTTCAGAATTTTTTGAGGTAAATATTGGTATCGTGATATATTGGGCGGTATCGTGATTCCGATAAAAAATCCGTATCGCTATTTTGGAATG